TATTTCCATTTTATATACTGTGGTGCATTTCTCTCGGGTTTGAGCGGCTTTTCATGGACGAGAGTTTAACCTGGAGCTGAGAGACGTCACCTAAAACCACATAAATACTGTGCGTGTAATTGTATTTTATTTTTATGGCATGTTTAGATACAGTTTAACTGAAATTATTAAGTAAAAGCAATCAATGTCTCGGGTGGTGGTAAAATTATCGAACGTTTAGCTGTTCGCTATGATAAAAATGCTGGGTTGAAATGCTCTTTAGAGTTCTCAATTATTTATGTATTATTAAAAACCTCACTCACGAGAAGAAAAATTTGGTATCAGGGGAAAACTATAATATAATATTTTTCAGTCACTTTTCGAGAGTATGAATGTAGTAAGTGTAAAAGGCTTTAAAAAACGATCCCTTCTTGTAGTTGATCAAACGCTGCATTATATGGGCTCATAAAAATTTGCGAAAACTGAGAATAAGGCAATGATTTTGATGATTTTCATCCAGGTGGAAAAATCTGCCCGAATTGGTGATTTTAAAAACGTTTAATAACTTTTAAAATATTTAGGTTATTTATCCGTTCTAAAGCCCAGATAATTCTTCACGGCAAGATTATACATATTGTTTGAAATCATTGTATTGCTTCAAGTGTAAGGCACTTAAACTATGGCTTTTTTAATTTCCTCAGTGACGGAGATTCAAAAAGCAGCGTTTCAACTGATTCGCTAAATCACCAATTAACTGATTTATTGATTCGATTTATTTTTCTCTCATTCACTCGGCTATATAAAAAATCATTTATGGGAACCATTGCTGTAGCTTTTCAAACTAATAATGATATTTTTTTCAAATTGAAAGTAAACAGTTTTAGTAGAAACTAAGCCATACAAACATACAATTGAATAAAACTTAAAAAATGACCACACATTGCTTTAAGAAAAAAAATACGAATGATCGTCATCGTAATTGAATATATTGAATTACGTGCCCTATTATATAATATTTTCAAGAATTAAGATCCTTTCTCTTCTCCCTAGCATAGGTTTACCAAACAAAATAATTCAAATTTTTACTTTTTGATGGTATCAAAATAAACGATGCTTTGTGTGGAAAAAAAAATGAATGTAGACGAAAAAGTTTGTGAGACATCTGCCGCTCAAAGAACTCATATTTACATAAAGAAAATAAGCCACTATGAGAAAAACGATGAAAAGAATCAAAATGTTACGTAAATTCATATAGTTTTTGCAATCAAACACTTGGTTTAATCCTAATGATAATCGTAATTGCCATGGAAGTTCGTGGCAGCATTTACGCGACTCTCTGTTATATATAACGGGATTAAATTTGTATAGTTCGACAAAAAAATTCGCTAAAAATTTCCTTTTGAGAAAAAAAACTATTGTATAGAGGGAGAAACCGGTTGCAGATTTGAAATCAGTGATACAAAAGTACTTAAGATCTAAAAGTGACTACGTTAAAAAGACAAGTGAATGTACATACATGCACATACTATAGTTTCAGTTCTATAAACAAAAACCTTCCTCAGAGTCTAAACGTCAAATGAAGGTAGAAAAGTAAAGAGACAAACGTGTGTAAAACTGTTTAACCAATAGGGACAAAGGAACAAGTTTGAACAAAGAAATAAGGAAACATGTGTGAGGAGATTAGGCGAAAACCCAAGGATGTAACGATTAAATTAAAATAGACTTCCAAATATAGGGAAATGGTGGGATACTCCAGTAAATTATTAGAATTTTCAAAATATAGAATGACTCCCGAAAATCAAATTCGTAAGGCAAAGAGCAGTGTTGAATAATTTTAGTCGACGAAAATTAAAACTTGTGATTTGTGTTCTAACTGTGTAGGTAGAGCGATAGAAGATCGGTTAATGTTCTGGTTTTGAACGCATTTTTCATTTTCTTTCAGTCGAAGTTTAAGGGTACGTTCAGTTTGTTCAATATATGCAAGACTACATTGTCATGAAATTTGATAAATACCCCATCTATTAATATCATAAATATGGTGCTTAAGATTCGTGAAACTTAGTTTATTTAGAGGAGTAACAAAAGACTTTAAATTCAAATTTATTCACAATCTTAGCAACTTGAGCACTGATTTTTGGATAATTAGATAAAACAATCAAATTTTTTAAGCTCGATTTGGAGGGTTTGAAGGATTGGGATTTAGTTTTCTAAGGGTGGAATCAATAATATTTAATGAATTAATATTATTGATTCCACCTGTAGAAATAATATTATTGATTCATATCTCGTAATCCTTCAAAGTCGTTTTTTCCTTTGTTAATAAACTAAATTTCACAAATAAAGACCCTATTGCTGATATTTATAGATGGGGTATTTATCAAATTTCGTGTCAATGTGGTTTTCCGTATAATGAACCAACTAGACGTACCCACTTCTACTTAAGGAACACAAAAGATGTATCTAAAATCAGGAAATTAACCTATCTTTTATCACTCTACACAGTCGACATTTAAATCACAAGTTTGAGATTTCTTCTGCTTAAATCATTCAACACTGCTCTTCAATTGTCGAACTTGAATTTTGGGAGTCATTATATACTTGGAAAAATTCTAATAATTTAATGACCTTTCGAATATCCCACCGTTTCCTAATATTTGGAAGCCAATTTTAATTTATTTTGTTGCACCCTGAGGTTCCCGCCTAATCCTTTCATTCTTATTTCTAATCTTTCCCTTGTTATTTCCTTGTTCAAACTTGTTAATCTGTCTCTATTGGTTAAACCACTTTACACGTGTCTCTCTACGTGATTACCTTCATTTGATGTTTGGACACTGAGGAAGTTTTTTGTTTATAAAACTGGAACTACAGTATGCCTATTTATGTACTTTCATTTGTGCTTTTTGACGTTGTTTTTTGTTTATAACCTACAAAGTATACCCCCTCTTTTGTTGGATCTTTACAATCAGTTAAAAATTCTCATGTAACAGAAAAGAAAAATTGTTTCCCAGTGTTATTCGTATTAAGAGTATTTAAACCACTTTTGATAGTCTCCGGCACTATTTTTCAGGTCCAGGATCACTTCTTTCAGAAACATTACAAATGACCAGAAATGTAAAACTATTTGCCTCTATTCGCCCTGTTTTAGCAACTACCATTCCTTCTGAAACATGCTGAAATATATATTTTTACTTAGAACGTACTATCTACGAGCGCACTACGAGCGTACTATCTATCTACGAGTAATGTTTGACAATGTGATCTTTCCTGTGTCATAAAGAGTTAATATGGTGCAGTCATAAGATATCTTGTATGCTAAAGATTTCGTTACTGCCACATTCTATTCTGGTCTAATAACATCATGACAGTACGATTTTGCTTCCACAATATTTTTAACTCTGAAAATGGTGCTCCAACGATTTTTTTGCTTTCTCGATTGCACGCGAGATTCTGTTTTTATAAGAATATGTCTGTGGTTGATAATGTCATCAAGAGATTTTGCATTTGTGATATTCTGATCAAATCTGCACGAGATTATGACTGAGCGAGATTTTGTCCATGCCAGATTCTGTGTCATTGAAATTAAATGCGCACGAGATTATGTTGTAACAAAATTTTGTCCTCAGGAGATTCTGCATCCAAGAATCTATGTCTTTACGAGACATGTCATCGAACGATTCTACACTCGTAAGAATCTGTCCGCGTGAGATAAGCTCTTCACAAGATTTTATCGATACAAAATTACCTATATACAAGAACCCTTTTAAATGATATTGCATCCCTGAGAAATATTATTCGTGCAACATTCTTCCTTCACATTATTTGGTCCAAGCGAATTATTTACCATGTGAACACAAACCAGAAACATTAAACATTTAAAAAATATTTTATGAGAAAAAAAAAATTTATGCACAGTACCTAACTCCAAAAAAATAATAACTTACTGAAATAAATATTTAATTTTATAACAATTCAATTTTTGAAAACCCTGTTTATTAATCAATTTTATTGTTACTTAACTTTTAAACTCTGTCATACGTGTTTCTTATTTTTTCTTTACCATTATCTTCAATACTTTTAGGTTGCTTTTAGAACTCTTATTTCCTTCATTATGGTATCATGTAGCTACTGGCAACCCATAATTTGATAGCAAAAAAATTTTTGTTCTATTTATTTCCGAAAATTATTCGACAAACCAGTTTCAAACTCTAGAGAGAATTTTATAATTTTTTTCCCTGAGTGAAACAAAAATGTTATTTTTCTTCATTTTTTTTCCAAATTATAATTGAAATTTCTGTAACATCAATAAATAACCATTTCTTATCAAAAATCTCGTTGTAATAGCGCTAAATCTAAGAAAATAAGCGCGAGGATTAATATAATAATCCCATTTTAATAACCTTACTGAAATCGATAGCCAAATATTGTTTCATTCAATGCATGAATTTGATTCCTTTTTTTTTCAAAATGAATTATCAATTAAATTTTTAAAAAATTAATCAAAAGATTTTCTTTACCAAAAAAAAACCCATTTAGAGTACAGTTTTGAAACAATTAAATAACTAAGTGAAGCCTATTTCATTAAAATATATGTTATTTTGCAAGTAAATATTTAATCACTTGTGTTCCAAAATGTATTCCTCAATTTTAATTATATTTAAACAAAATAATAATAATTTTAAATAAAATATTGAACTTCAGGACATAATCGAAAACTTTAATTTATATAACAATAGATTTTTGTAATTTTATCAAAATTGTCGTAATAATTAACTCTGCATTATTCTATCAACTCACTAATAAGGTTCCTACATATCAAAACAAAATTTAAATATTTATTTTAAACTGTACTTGAATAAAAATGAGCTCACAATAGTTTATAAAGTAAAAATTTAAAATCCCAAGCAATTTCTATTTACCTGAAAACAGCGTGAAAGAAAATTTCCAAATCAAAACAAACAGCAAACATAACTTTAGAATCCAAGCCCCACGGGACAAATGTTAACAAAACTTCATTAACTTACCTTTTGAAGTTTAAGTAGTTGGTACAAATAAAATTTCTCTAGTTTTCCTCTCTACTGTTCACTTTATGCGTTAAAATTATGTCACACTATAACGAAATGTCCCACTATACTGAATGGTTAACGTTAGACATCTGATCAAAATAATGCACTCCTTCTCTTAGGTTCTCTCTCAAGATCAATATTTTGTACTTGGCGACTAGGGTTACCTAAAATAGAATTTTAATCATCGCCAGAGCTAAGCTGTGAAGCCAACTTCATGAATCAGGAAAAAAATAAATAACAAAGCAACAGGTAATTGTTAAGCAGAATTCTTTATATGGTATTTAATATTATGTACAAAAACGAATTTAAATGTGAATTTTAAATAAAATGTGTGAAGAACATTTTAATCGCCTTAAATTAAAAATTCCCGCCAAAATTGCAATTACTTATATCAATATGGTACTCTCCAAATCTTAAGGATTCTTATTTTGATCTTTTATTAGAATTTAACATACATTCCTCGGTACAAAAAAATTTCTATTGTATGAAAACCTGCCTTACAGATAAAATTTAGTTCGGAGGAAATTTATGACTGTTAGCATTTGACATAATGTTATACAGTTGCATTTTTGTTTATCGACGTTCTACTTAACGACATTATTTATTTGAAAACGATTTGTTGCCGTCCCAGTTCCTTCATAGTTGAAAAATCTTTATTTAATGACGACTGTGTCACGGTTTCAGGACAACATATTTTAAAGTACAGAAAAAAAATTTAAAAACTTTTTTCTTCGTTGTAATGGAGTATAGAAAGACGAATAAAATGTTCGGTTATAGGATTTGTTTAACAGTTATGAAGATAGTTTAAAAACTGCTTTAGGGGGCCGTCCTTAAATGAGTGTCGCTCTTTACCATAACCCTATTCTCGTTTAGTCATATGACAAATTGTGTTTCATAAACATGTACTTGAAGCTCAGAAGAAAATATTATATGTTTCAAATTTTATTGTTTTACTTTATTCGAGTGTTTCAACGTTAGAATTTTAAGTCTGGAATTACGCTAAAATAAGTGGCATCAGTCTGTCCATCCGATTAACCATAATGTTTATGGTAAGAATGTTTCTTTACATTTACGGTTTTGAAACTTTTTAACACTGGTACTGTTAAAAATCAGTTAACACAGAGCTATACTGTTTTGTAATCATTTACAACTACTACAGTTTTTAAACCATTAAAATACAACTTAAACAGACATTGGAGCTCCATGCGTGCTTCGCCATTTAAGCGTGAATGATAATTTCGTATTCTAATAATCTGGGGTCACTGATTAAAGAGTGCAGAGTCCCAGTGTCTTTTCATCTATTCAAGGAATGGAAGAAATATTGTTGTATCAACGCTGAGATTCGAACCTCTGTTCAACCAGTCTCTCAACTACAGTTGTTACCCAACTACATGAAAGAAAATGGCTTCATAATGTGCGTTTAGGTTCGCGCGGATAGAATTCTGGTTGCTAAACCGTATTCGGTGAAAACAATCAATAAGCGTTTAACAATGTGACTTTTTTATGGTTATTTTAGTATTTTGGTTACAAAGGTAAAATAAAAATTTATGAAACTGCTATTTAACGATTTTTACCTAGAAATTTATAACAGTGTTTAGTGTCAACCATGACTGTAACAATAATAGTTATTATGTCTGTACTAATTTTGATGAAAAGTATTAGGGGGGCCGGCAAGTAATGTCGTTTCGGTGCATTAGATATTTTTTATCAAGATTTTATTTTTAATCAATAATGTATTCACCCTCGTTAGCGGCAACCTTTCAATGCCAGATTGAAAATGAATCGAAAGGGACAAAAAAAATGAATTAGTTTTTAAGACTAACGAATATCCAATGTGACGAAGCGAAATTACTTTCCAGTCCCCGTAATATTTAATCTGTTGATTTTATATGTTGTTTATTTCAAGTAAAATGTGGGATGACACACTTTTCGTTGCACCCTCACCCTCACTCTCTCTTGTCTCAAATTTTCCTGAACCTCTTCCCTCACCTTCAAATATGCCATTTATGAAAGCTCCCTATGAGATGTAGAGTAAACGAACGATAACAAAGAAAATGAGATAGAGTTTGTCTCTCCTTCTTATGCGAAAAGCAATTACTGCTATTGATATTTAAAGAAGATAGATTATCATATCCAGTTTGCTTTCTTTAGTATGCTTGAAAAAAAGGAAAAAATTATTGAAACGGGACAACAATCTGTAAATTTTTTCTTAAATTTTAATTTCCTTTTAGTGCAAAATTATTTAAATTTTATTATTCCATTTTTCTTCCTCGTAATGTACACGGAGAAGAAATGTCTTGTAAAATTATCATGCTGTACGGTAATGAATTTTGGTATATATATATATATA